TTTTTAAAGTGACGTACGACACCTTGAAAATATAGGTATGACTTTAATAGATGAGAAATTTTATTTTTATTTATTCACTCATCTTGCCCTTCGTAAGTTATTGTTTTGTATTTACATTGAATATTTATACAAATATATTGTTGTATTTATGTAAATTAATTATACAATTGTTATACTTTGGAATATAAATATTACTTGTTCTACATTTTTTATATGAAATAATTCTACAATTGTTTTACACAAATGTTTGTTTATTTGCTAATTTAATTATACGTGGATTATAATTTATACGAAAATATAATGTTAATTCCAGTTCTTGAAACAAGAAATTCCTCTTATAAAATGAAATCAGCACTTCCGTGTTCCGAGAATTTCAGAATCTTACAAATTATTCGAATTTCAAGAATTCTTTGCATTCATATTAAATAGAATCGCTTCATGTTAAATAGTATGGGATTGGAATAAATAATTTTATAATATAAAAACATCAAAATCCAATATTTTATGTTATGATAAACATAAGTCATCATCGTTGATTGATATATATTAATAATTTTCCCTGTCGTTTTTTTTCTGTCTGAGCAAACAATACGTCGTTTATCATTTCGTATCTTATCCAAAGACGACGTGATTCTCGAAAATCCACCTCTCAATCGATCGATCAGAAGCCCGACAAAATTTTAAATGGGTCACCACGTTCATTATTCTACGAACAGTTTATAATTTCCTACGTATATTTCAAAAATACATATTCTATCGTTTTACTTGTTTCTTCGTACAATTAGAATGAGAAAACTACGAGAAAACGTATAAATACGATTTTTTTTTTTTTTTTTTTTTAAGATCTACACTTACATCAATTTATCCTCATCAGCGATCTCTTTATACAATAAAATTTTAGAACAGAATATTTTAATAAACATTAAATTATCAAAAATCACATAAGAATAGAATGTTCCAATGGAAATCAAATAAATAAATATTCTTCAATTGCCAGTGTTCGCATAGTTTCGCACACACATGATATA